TAAAGCCTCCATCACTCCATTCCTACAAAATAATGGAGCGGGAAATAAAGAAACACCAAAAATGACACAGTTATATTTTTACACAGTTGCAACTTTTACTACACCGTTTCTCAATGATGATTTTATGCATTTTCTTATACATTTCGTACAATGCTTACGTTAGTCGAGAACCATTTTTTTTCTCATACAGAATTTTTTCGTAGGCCCTACACCAATTCTTAAATGGAATTTTAGGCATCATTCGTACCTTTACGTGAAAGTCAATATAACCATATTTTTTTTATACAGTATGCTACACCGTTTTTCAAATAGAATTTTATGCATTCTCGTATACAATTTCTTAGTGTTGAGGCGAAAGTCAAGAACCATTTTTTTCTTGTACATAATGTTTGCACAAAGTAATGTTACATGTAACAATATAAACGTTTCAATGATAATGTTTCACATTGAAAGCAAATGTTTTGACAAGGTTCGCAGTGCAATTTATTTCTCAATCTTGTTCCTGGGTTTCAATGCCTAGCATGCAGTCCTAGAAATTCTTGATCGGCAAGAACTCAACATCCTGAAGAAATGTGTAGGTCTTTGCCATGGTGTCCAAGAAAAGTTGAAGGAAAATCACAAGTTCGTGCAATGTAAATCCGGCCTGGAACACTTGTAGCCATTTTGCACAAAAAAACCCAACAAAATCTTAGTCTTGCAATTTTGAGTGGTTTTAGCTCGTCCTTCCTTGTCCAATGATGAGTAGTTTTACTAGTCTCGAGTTACGTTGGTAATGCCGTCGACGAAGTAGTCCGACTGGAGACTGCCCGCTAGTTTTGACCTTCTTCGTTACACTATCCCCAGGCAGAACTAGGAGAAAACAAAATCAGAAAATTAGTTTTTGGGGTCAAACAATAAGACGGAAGCATAAGTTCATATTCCTGTAAATCTACTTTAGTCTCACAAAGCCGTAAAAAGCACAGGTACCTTTTACAATTACAAAGTGACGACACAGAAAGCTTCGAATTAGAACAGTTTTAGTGCAAACACGATGTCTGAATAAACTTTATCAGATAGCAAATTAAAGAATAAAGCTTAATGTATGTGACATTATCGTGCTCAAAATACAACATTTAATTTTTTTCTGATTTTATTAGCTGTTATTTCTACTTAACAAAAAGGGTACTTCTTACCTTTATACTCATTCATGCAATCTTCATATTCATTTGGAGTGTCGAAATGGTCTTTTATATCTTCCAGGCAAAATTTGAAGCGGCCGGCAAATTATTATCCGATATATCCATGGAGCTAGTATCAGCACCGTATCAAAGACAGTTCCCTGGCACGCTTTAATTCCACTGTATCTCACGTATTTTTATCATAACAGTCCTAACGTCTTGAGATTGAAAACTGCGTGTCAGACACGAATGCAGTCAAGAACGAATGCATGGTGCCTTGGTGAAGTTTAGCATTTATACCAAGCGCGCCTAGAATCCAGTATTGTATTGGTTACGTAAGAACATTATGCTAACATACTTTTCGCAGTCCAATTCTGTACAATTCCTTTAAATGCATTTTACAGTTACGCAATAAGACAAAGCGTGTGTCTTTGTATGAAACAAAGTCGCTCCATTCGTGCAAAATAATGGAGCGCTAGGACAATAGGGTGACGTCGCGGGTGGAGTTTAAGTCGGATAATGCCGCTCGGTACCGCGCCATTCGTGGGTAAGAATGGCCCTCGGGCTTCGATCTCAGACCATTCTTACCCACGAATGTCGCGTACCTCGGGCATTATCCTTTACTTAGATCACTGTAGTCTGCGTACACTACAAATATGCACCCCTGTAGTTGGAACATATGTGATAGCATTGAAGCGGTGGCAGCTTTTGAGTGCTATCACATTTTTTCTTTAAAATGGCGATCTAAACTTGCTTGTTACCACATGTAATGAATCCGGTAACAAGCACATTAGCGGCCGTTTTTGAAAAAAAATAAATAAAGTGAAAACACCCAAAAAAACTGCAACCGCTCACACTGCAAAGCTATTACACATTTTCCAACTTTAGACGTGCATACCTTGCAAAAAAACGCTATGAGCAATGCTCTTTTTGATCATTTGAAACCGTAATTTTTGGGCCGAAGCTAATAGCATACCTCAAATTTGGAGCTCCAAACCTGTTCAATTTGTTATTTTGAGCTTAATATATAACATACTGAATATAAACTCAAAATGTCAGATCTATACTCTCATAATTCCAAAGAGAGAACAAACACTCTTTTCCAATGAAAATTCACTACAGGCCAGCGACACGAGGAATACAGTTGCAAAAAAACAAGTTTTTGTCACGAGTATTCTCCCATGTCATGGTTTGATAACCACTAACTTGTACCGACAATTTCTATTAAACCCTTTCCATTCCGCTGGTCCATGGCAAATGGCCCCACAGGCATTACCAATCACGCATGAAGTCGGCGTTTACAAGTGCGGGATGCAAAATGGTGAAATTACTAGACGTTGACAGTTCGCTATGAGTCATAAGTATACTGAAAGGTGCATGTAGCCTAAATTGTTTTCGGTGGAAATTCGCTGGAAGAAAACGTGCACAAAGTTAATGAGGTGGAAATGGTAAAAGATGCCCTGTGAAATTATTCCGCCGGAAACGGCATCGTTCGGAAAATATCAATCATCCAGATTGACTTTAGTAAGGATGCCTGCTGGTAAACTTGATGTTTTGCCGCCCTCTTTCGGTGACGTTGCTTCATAAATGGTTAAAACCGTAACAAACAAATAATTTAAACTAGAACTTCGACAGTTGACAATGCAACTTTTCCGGGAAGTTGTTTTTATGGAAAGTTGAAATTGAAACCGACATCGGGTCGGGTCGGGTCGGTTTGTTCATCTTTTCAGTCGAGTCGGGTCGGTTTCGGCTTTGCATTTTCATTTATGGATCGAGTCGGGTCGTTGTAGCCATCTTTTGAAAAACCCGAAATAAACCGAAATAAACCGAAACAGTTCAGAAATTTAGGTGATGCATTATTATTGACAGTCACTGTGACCGCAGCCCTAGTAGTGTGGTGTGGCCACCGAGCGCACTATCAAGTTCTCACGGTATCAATTTCTTAGTCCAATGGGACTGACAGTGAAATAGATACATTGTAACAGTTTTCATGATACCGCGTGATGATACCATGCGTTTGTTCAGTAAGCAGAGTTACTCTCGATCAACCCACTGAGTATGACATAAAGAGACGATGGTTTTGCAAAAGAATTCATGCCACGTGGGTAAGGGCAGGCATACAAAAAAGTGATCACTTTGTCAAAGCAAGGTATTCGTTTTTTACGGTTTTTATTCAGTCGGGTCGGTTCGGGTCGGGTTTTACCTTATTTTTTGTCGGGTCGGATCGGGTCGGTTTGAGGGAGTTAAGATCGGTTTCGGTTCGGCTTTGGTTTATATCTCTAATGTTTCGAGTCGGTTTGGCCTGGTCAACCCGACCCAATGCACATCATTAATCTGCACTATAGGAGTTGGTCTAAGTGTTTCCCACGTCTGAAGTTGATCAGATTCATGCAAGTCAATCATATTTATGAGGAAAAACGTGTATAAAGCCATATAAAGTATATATAAACTTCCAAGTCACATATTTACTTTTTCATTTATGGAATTGTTAACACAACACAGTTTTAAACTTTGTCCACGATCACATTTAAGGTACGAGATGTTTCAGTAAAATTAAACCATGTCGTATCATAAAAACGATATCAGAATAATCCCATAAGTCTTTGGGGAGGCTAAGTAGAAGGCAGGGCAAGACTATAAACTCTGGACATCATAAAGCATTATGTTTTAACATTGGAATCAGAAGGTGTTTGAATACTGGTTATGATAAGTGCCAGTTATCATGCTTATAAGAGTGTTTTGATGTGTGTTTTTTTTGTATGTGTGCAGTGTATTTGTTTTGCTGAAATATCACTTACCTTTTTTGTGATCCGTGGACAAAATTATAAAACTATGTTTGTGTTTAAAAGTCCATAACTGGAAAAGTACTTGAGCAATTTGAATGATTATTTTACCAAAATAAAAGCTTAATAATTGGGCTTTTACATCCTTTTACACGCAGAACTTCTTCATAAAGTAAGGGGCGCCATTCGGGTTGTCTGTTGTTTTTGACTCAACCTGTATGTGTTACAAAATATATATATAAAAAAGTCATGACTTCATGACGACGTAACACATTTTTTTTCCAAATCTATATCACTTCCTGGTATGTGTACATACAAAGTGAAAACTCAATCGGCCTTATGGCCGTTGAAAAATTAACCTGCAAGATGGCGTCACGTGACCTCCAATGACGTTATCATGACGTCTAAGCAATATGCACGAGTTAAGTACTGGGTATTAGTCGGTGCACAGTTTCATTAAAATGTCAACTTGGATACGTGGCACAAGACGCACACACTCCAAACTTTCAATTCGGGCAATTTAAAATTCAGTGCGCCACCAAGAGTTATAGCCACGGAGAGTTCATTTTTCCCAGTGCATTGTGGGAGATGGTCCACCGCCAGACATTGGAAATTGTTCGTTTTTCCGGTCAATAGTTACGTAAGCGTATGATTCGAGTGTCTGTTTGTCCTTTCTTTTGTTTTCATCAACATGGTAGGTTTTTTTTTTGTAAGCCGGCAGAACGCTTTGCCCCAATCTATATTAAAAGTAAAGGATAATGCCCGAGGTACGCGACATTCGTGGGTAAGAATGGTCTGAGATCGAAGCCCGAGGGCCATTCTTACCCACGAATGGCGCGGTACCGAGCGGTATTATCCGACTTAAACTCCACCCGTGACGTCACCCTATTGTCCTAGCGCTCCATTATTTTGCACGAATGGAGCGACTTTGTTTCATACAAAGACACACGCTTTGTCTTATTGCGTAACTGTAAAATGCATTTAAAGGAATTGTACAGAATCGGACTGCGAATAGTACGTTAGCATAATATGTTCTTACGTAACCAATACAATACTGGATTCTAGGCGCGCTTGGTATAAATGCTAAACCCCACCAAGGCACCATGCATTCGTTCTTGACTAGCGTGTCTGACACGCAGTTTTCAATCTCAAGACGTTAGGACTGTTATGATAAAAATACGTGAGATACAGTGGAATTAAAGCGTGCCACGGAACTGTCTTTGATACGGTGCTGATACTAGCTCCATGGATATATCGGATAATAATTTGCCGGCCGCTTCAAATTTTGCCTGGAAGATATAAAAGACCATTTCGACACTCCAAATGAATATGAAGATTGCATGAATGAGTATAAAGGTAAGAAGTACCATTTTTGTTAAGTAGAAATAACAGCTAATAAATCAGAAAAATTTAAATGTTGTATTTTGAGCACGATAATGTCAGATACAATAAGCTTTATTCTTTAATTTGCTATCTGATAAAGTTTATTCAGACATCGTGTTTGCACTAAAACTGTTCTAATTCGAAGCTTTCTGTGTCGTCACTTTGTAATTGTAAAAGGTACCCTGTGCTTTTTACGGCTTTGTGAGACTTAAGTAGATTTACAGGAATATGAACTTATGCTTCCGTCTTATTGTTTGACCCCAAAAACTAATTTTCTGATTTTGTTTTCTCCTAGTTCTGCCTGTGGATAGTGTAACGAAGAAGGTCAAAACTAGCGGGCAGTCTCCAGTCGGACTACTTCGTCGACGGCATTACCAACGTAACTCGAGACTAGTAAAACTACTCATCATTGGACAAGGAAGGACGAGCTAAAACCACTCAAAATTGCAAGACTAAGATTTTGGTGGTTTTTTTTGTGCAAAACGGCTGCAAGTGTTCCAGGCCGGATTCACATTGCACGAACTTGTGATTTTCCTTCAACTTTTCTTGGACACCATGGAAAAGACCTACACATTTCTTCAGGATGTTGAGTTCTTGCCGATCAAGAATTTCTAGGACTGCATGCTAGGCATTGAAACCCAGGAAAAAGATTGAGAAATAAATTGCACTGCGAACCTTGTCAAAACATTTGCTTTAAATGTGAAACATTATCATTGAAACGTTTATATTGTTACATGTAACATTACTTTGTGCAAACATTATGTACAAGAAAAAAATGGTTCTTGACTTTCGCCTCAACACTAAGAAATTGTATACGAGAATGCATAAAATTCTATTTGAAAAACGGTGTAGCATACTGTATAAAAAATATGGTTATATTGACTTTCACGTAAAGGTACGAATGATGCCTAAAATTCCATTTAAGAAACGGTGTAGGGCCTACGAAAAAATTCTGTATGAGAAAAAAAAATGGTTCTCGACTTACGTAAGCATTGTACGAAATGTATAAGAAAATACATACAATCATCATTGAGAAACGGTGTAGTAAAGTTGCAACTGTGTAAAAATATAACTGTGTCATTTTTGGTGTTTCTTTATTTCCCGCTCCATTATTTTGTAGGAATGGAGTGATGGAGGCTTTATTACCTTCCAAAAGAATGGAGAGGTATCGCCTCCAACGCTCCATTCGTGCAAAATAATGGAGCGCTAGGACAATAGGGTGACGTCACGGGTGGAGTTTAACTCAAGATCTCCACTCACACTCATTATAGGTCATGTTTTGTAGACCGTAAACTTGAAAAATGGACTCTCCATGGCAAACTCTTGGTGGCGTACTGCATTGTGAATTGCCCAAATTCCCTGAGTTTCCCCCGAGTTTCCCGACTGAAAAATGGAAACTCATTTTCAAGGTTTTCCCTGATTTCCAGAGTGGCTAAAAAGCCTGTTGATCATTAACCTCTTCAGAATTTAGTGTCTATAAGCTATATCCAAAAGTTGCCAGAATTTCGGATATTTTGCTGTGGTAAAATTTCCGTTTTCGGTGAGCCGTCGTTGTTTCAATATACGACATTAACATTTATTTACAAGTGAATTAGCAAATTTTTGGGTTCGCAAGAATTGAGCAGAAAGCTTCATAGGTGTGCAGGCCAATAAATCGTTACGAAACTGCCTACGCTGGCCAAATCACAATTTGCATGCCCTCAAATTCATCCCCATAGACTTGTGCACAAAACTTTGAAACTAAGATGTGCAAATATAACCTAATTGCGGCAGTAAAATTGTGCCTCTGTCTCCTTAATGACCGATGTCTCCCATTGTGCGAAGAAATTACGAGAACGTGTCTCCTTAGTGGTACCCTTACACGTATAATAATAATAATTATTATCTGGATTGCATGGTAGTGCGACACTTCCAAAGAAACGTGCACAAAGTTTTCCAAACTTTAATGTGACCTTACCCAATTTTATCTTATCCGATCCCAACCAAGTTTGGTGTGTGTACGTTTTGGACCACGAGCAATCGATGTAGCTCATTTGCGACGGTAAAATTCCTTCGCTAAAGGGTAGTTACCTCAATAGGGCGACACCAAAATCGTCGCCCTAGTGCGATGTGTTGCCCTAATGTAGGGGCAGTCCCCCACAACTTGTCGCCCTATTGTGGATTCATGCTAATTATGGGAATGGGTCATTAGGGAAACTTTCCACAGACTTATAGTGCAATCTTTTTTTTTCAACTTAAATGTAACCTAACCCAATATTCCTTTGTCCTTTTCCCACGAATTTCGGGTGTTTTTTTAATAATTGGACCACGCGCAACAAATATAACTTGATTGAGACAGAAAAACAAACTGTTGCCTTTGAAGGGGGATGTGCCATTAGGGAGACAGTTATGTGTCTCCCTAATGACCGGTGTCTCCCTATTATCGAAGAAATTACGATAAGATGTCTGCCTATAATGGTACATTTATTTATAAATATATTTGTAATAATATTTATCATTTCAATTCCTCGCACAGATAAACATATAAAGACATTACAGGTTGCAAGTGATTGAACCATGGATTGGATCCGGTTGATTTTGCTACTTCTACTTTATGTACGTTACACTCAGTCGACGACGTCACATGGTAGGAACATATTTGATACCCCCACTATTCCACAAAGAAAAAAGAGATAATGGACGTATGTTTATGGTGTAAATAGAGGATAAACAAAGAACCGAAAAAGAGAAACAATAGAACATCCTTGATTTACAACTTAAACAAACGTGCGTGTTTAGGCTATAAATATGTGTTTTTTTTCTGAAATGATTGGTCAATATTTTGTATGCGAGCATACCTTGTCTCAATTGATTTCAGGTACTGGTAATTTGATTGACGGTTTAAAGAAACCATTAATTGTATGTGGTGCCGATGGCATAAGACTAAAAGTGAAATAGAATGGTCATTGTTTAAAATCGCCCTTTTAAAGCGAAAAAGCGTAAACAAGTCTGAGTGAACATAAACGAAAGGTGCTGCTCAATCACTTAATTGATCGAACTGAATCGAATCGCATGCTCTGGTAGCAAAAATGAAACGCGTGTTCATCAGAGCGGTTCTCAAATTCACACGAAAATGAATGACCGATTTCCAGAAGAGAATGAACATTTGAGGAAATTGGCCGAGAAAACTTGTAGTAAACATTTTTTTTTTCATTACCTGCCAATTTCTTTCAAGGCAACCAAGGATTTAACTGTTCCTTTGAGGACGGTTTTTGCAGCTGGACCCAGCGTGAGGGTGACGGACCTAACTGGCTACTGGGAGCAGGCAGCACTGCTGGGTCACGCGTGACGGGGCCTGGTGCTGATCGTTTTGGAAGTATGTGTTATCTAGTGTACCAGATTAATGTCTAATTTGGGGACTCAATAACATGTATGCGGATTGATATTGCAGTGTGGGATGACGCAATTCCAAGTGAATGCAATAAATGACCATTTCAAGATGGAATCTCCCAGTTTGACATTCAACATCATATTTGGGGTGCTGTGGTCCAATGGTTACGGTGTTCGACTCGTCTGCCGTGGTACATGGGTTCGAATCCTGACCGTGAGAACATAGCACTTGTGCTCTTGAGCAAGGCACTTTATCATTATTGTTTTAAATTTGTCCTTCGGATGGGATGTTAAGCCGTAGGTCCCGTGTATTGTGTAATGCGCGTTTAAAGAACCCAGTAACACTTATCACTAATAGAGAAGGGGTTTGCCCCGGTGTTTATAGGCAGTGGCTGCTTAATGCACCGCAGCACCTTGCAAACCCTTTTAAAGGTGTAACAAAATGGGTCTCATATTTCTCATGTACTCCATTCACTTTTCTTTAACAATAGACATAATTTCCAGCGCCTTGAGTACTTAATTGTTGGTAGATATATGTGCTTTATTAGACTCCGGTATTATTATTATTATTATTATTATTTCCCTTGTAACCCACGCTACATACACGACAGTAATCTTAGAAGTGAATGTCATTATCACATCCACAATATGTATCATCAAAATAACTTGTATCAAGACACCAAAGGAATTGTATTTTCTTCCGTACAATGAGAGCAGATTCAGTGAAAATTCTTTTCCTGTAACAAAAACATTGCTTGTTTGCATTTTGAGCGAAATGCTATAAATAGTCGGGTGCGTGGAAGAAGGTCGTTAGGGCAAAACATGGGTCAAAAGGTCAAATTCGGAATTTTCAGGTATTCAATAGAGCATGGACATATCTTCAATTTGATATACATTTTGTCTCAGGGTTACGTCATTCTGACGTAATTAACAGTATGAGAAAGACGGAAGTAGGTTTTTCATTTTTTTTCCCCGGCAAAAGGACGTGAGCGTGTATTGCTGATGGCTAGCATTGTGTGAGCCTCACATGGAATTTGACAATACTTAATCAGAACTTGTGTTTCCTCTTCTTCTAACGATCTGAAATGTTCGAGTGTTTTGTTTTCATCCTGTTAATACTTACGGCACTGGGAGGTATGTTTACTGTAAGCCCTCGAGCCGCGAGGACATGCCCATAATTGACAGTCATGTGTTGGACGTTAAGGAGGAGGATGGCGAAGACTTTTGCTTTAGTTCTGGTGTAACATGTGCGGACAAAACGTGTACTCGTTATCATGTTCGTTTATTCAAACGAACTTATATTTTGGGAGGTTTAATTACTTTTCATTCTGCTATAGACGCAACTGGAATGTTCCTTTACTTTGCTACATACCCTGGGGACGACACGCCCATAATTGACAGTCCTGTGGTGGAAGTTAACGAAGAGGATGGTGTGGACCTTTGCCTTAGTTTCTGGTACAGCATGTACGGGCGATACATAGGTATTATACAAATCATCTTCGTTGATTCCATTTTGTTGGGGCACCACATGTCTGGTCACTGTTTCAAATAGAATGCCTTTTTTTTTTGCAATAGCCAAATTCTTTACCTTCGACGCACAAAGGGGAGTCAGGCCTTCAGGATAAGGTTTTTTTTCAATCCAACGCGAGTCTCCAGATGGGACGAGTTTCTCAAAAAGAGGATGAATTAGGAAGCTACATTCGTGAATTCCACTGCACCAAATATCAAATTTATTAATGTAAATACGAAATCAGAATTGACAATGGAACCCAACACGTTTTCTGGAACGAAACGAAAGTGTCTTTTCATGGAACCTAGAAAACCTACATTAACTACAAAAACAAAATGAACATCAATTATTTGTACTAATTGTTTTGAAGGCGGACTGGAAGGGTACACTTATAACGCCACTAACGGCACCGTGAAAGTTTTCAGCGCGAGAGGGCCGCAGACAGGATCGAGGGGATGGCTTCATGGGCTGGTCGACATCAGAGATGTCACCTCTGATATGAGACTTTACTTCCAAGGGATTAGCAGTGAATATTTAGATGAATATACAGATGATCCAGTTCACGCGATTGTAGCGATCGATGATATAAATCTACAGACGGGCGTGTGTGAAAGTAAGTATTTATCTTATATACGTTGATATTAAAGTAGTTTCTTCAGAATTACAATATATGACGGGTGTGGAAGATATTGTTTTAATTCATGTATTTTATGTACTTTTGCAATATTAGAGAAACATTATATTACAAAATGATCTCCAATTGCACATCAAGAACAGAATTGTTTTAATCGGGGTGGCTGTAATAAATAAATTAAACTGAATTAAACTGAAATATAAAAAATATATATATATCTGTGGAAAGGGGATAAAGGATCTTCTGTCAGCAACATAATTAGTATGAAACCATGTCCACTGAAAAAAAAACCACGTAGGATCAACGTTAATGAAGAAAATAGCATAGCAATAGTTTCCAGCAAATCACATGCCCCAAGTGCATGAGCCTAGTTTCACCTCATCAATGTTTGTTTTATTTTGCGGTTGTCAGATTAACAAATTTGCGTAGTGGACATTCTATGCCCTCAAATGTGTATCCATATACCTTTTGGTCGTTTGCAGCCGCGTATGATTACCATTCTTCAAGACTGAATGTACATGTATTGGAATATTATTTGTTGTATTATCCAAATTGGAGATTTTAAACAAGAATTATCGCTGGTATACTGAAAGTTAACAGAGTGGGGTCCGCCCGATAGATTGTCAAAAGGTTCGATAGTCCGAAGGATTTTTAGCCCGAAGGTTCGATAGTCCGAATGCACAAAATCTCCATAAGAGGGGGTTCGTTAGTCCGAATATGAAATAAGGTTCGTTAATTCGAACATTTGAATTAATAGTCCGAAGGTTCATTAGTCCGAAGGCTCATTAGTCCGAAGGCTCATTAGTCCGTAGGTTTATTATTCCGTATTGAAAATAAGGTCTAATAGTCCGAATGGACAATAAGGTCGGATAGTCCGAATCGACAATTGGGTCCGATAGTCCGAATCGCCAATAAGGTCCTATTATCAATTCGACTATTGAACCTTATTGTCCATTCGGACTATCGAACCTTATCGTCGATTCGGAATATCGAACCGTATTGTCGATTAGGACTATCGAACCCTATCGTCTATTCGGACTGTCGAACCTTCGTGGCTATATAACCTTCTTCTGTTTTCGGACTACTGGGCCCTTCGGACTATCGAACCTTCGGACTATCGAACTATCGGGCTGTAACCGTTGGAGTAACGCGGCATGACGAAAAAAAGGTCAATTCTGGAACAGGTTTACAATCCCTATGAACCCTTAAGTGATCGATGTTGGTTGAGAGTCTATGGATAACACTATTTCAATTGTACACAGGGGACACAAGCTTCAACTGCAATTTTGAGGAGGGATCACTTTGTGGATGGGTGAAGCCGCCCACGGGCTCCGATGACACCGACTGGTTATTGCAGCGTGGAGCTACTTACACAGCCAGTACCGGTCCTATTGTCGATCATACCACAGGGAGTACGTACGTTCTATATACTGTCACAATGCTATACATTCATTCTGGAAAATTTACTTGAAACAGTTTTGTTTTCGAATCGAGAGCCAAATGAGACTTAAATAATTTACATGGTGGACATGAACTATAAATGGAAGATATGCGGCAACACCCGATACAAATGTTTTGAACAGTGTACTCTGTCCGCAATCAGGAGACTGCCAGTATCTTGCTGTTGTAGTGTATATACCCATTCCCGGAGCTGCCCCTTTAATCTACCAATATCATAGTATTGCATGGAATTGTTTAATGACACAATGTTTTTTGAGCCACCCGGCCCTCAAACCCAGACCATTCACCCTGGCATTCTTCAGACCCCAAGCATCTATTAAAACCACAGACTTGCCCTGTGAATGCCATTTGACTGTTCCATTTTGGTCAGCAGTGGTATCCTATGTGTATACAATTGTATACAAGCCTATGTAAATGTGCACAATCGATCACACTCGGTCTTCCCGCCTATTTTTAACCCCTCCATAGGGTCACCAGACTGAACCCCCCCCCCCCCCCCGCCCGGTGGAAGTACCATGGTCCATATACTATCATCTAGTGAGATGACCCCGGGCATGGTTACCACGTGGCTGGGACACAACATAGAAATGTGACCAATATTAGTTCCATGCTCGCTTCATGTAAGGGGGAGACTGAATTCAGCGTTACAGGGATTAGATCAGTGGACTGTTTAGGCGGTGGGTTCTCAATAGTTCTGCCTACATAGGAATGAGGACCCCCTTGGTACTCTGCATACCTTGATGTTCTTCCCAACTGTGCCAAGATCCTTCTGACATAATACTTAAGTGAGTACACGCAGTCCACTTCAGCATCCTACCCGGCAATTCAGCATCCGCGTTAACACTGCACTGATGAACTAATCCCCCTGATGCTAAATCCAGCTTGCACTACTTGAGCAACTACACCAGAATGTCTTCTGATGACAAACAGAGCACACTGTTCGAAACATGGAGATCAGTGGCGCACCCAGGATTTGGGGTTTTTTTTGGGGGGGGGGCTCACATTTTTATTTTTTTTTTAGAAGTTAATTTTTTTCAAAAATTGTGCCCAAAATTTTGGGCCGCAGAAAAAAAAGGGTGTGTTTTTTTGGGTGGGGACGGATTTTTTTGACATTGGTGGCGCCACTTACATCCCTATTATACTACTTGAAAATAGGCCACATACATATCACCAAAATTAAAGCGTGGAACCAAAACAAGAAATTACCTAAAAAATAAAAACAAATAATGACAACCTCTTGGGCCCCCCAGGCCCCCCTTGGGTGCGCCACTGATCGAGATTTAACAAACTGTATTTTCTCAGAACCACGCAACTCAACAGAGATATTATTCACATGGTGTTACCACAAGCCTTCCATTCATTAAATCAAGTGCTATTTAAAATGAACTGTGGCAAAAGCATTCATTTAAGTCAAAAAATATTGAAATGAACCGCGAGAAATCTTTCCTTTGATTTGGTCTTGTGAATACACAGTGACGTGTGTTAAACCGTTCAACTAGCAATATAACTTTTGATTTGTTGGTTTCATCAAATGGAAGAAAATTAATTGTATTCATGCACTTGTTTTGCTTACTTCCGGTCTTTTCATTGCAGCAATTGAGGGATCTTACTTGTATATAGAAGCGAGTTGGTTATCTACAGGAGATATTGCCATATTGGAAAGTCCTATGGTTACTCCGCTGGTTAATGAGAATTTCAATCTCACTTTCTGGTACAACATGTATGGGATCGATACAGGTATTGAGATGGAATAGGGATTTTGGGGTAATGATGTGCTATAACGACGCTTTTTGTTTGTGGGATATAAACAGACTAAACTGCAATGAGCAACTTCGGTTTGTTAGTCCAGGCCACAGCATGTATGTTCCATGAACAGAACAAAGTGCTTTTCCGTATTTTTGTTTGTCCATTTTTATGGTTTTTTTTTACTTTTATGTGAAATCTACTCATGTACAAATGATCAGAACAAACAAAGTTCCATAACAGATTGACATTGTGTCCTTTCATAAATGAAAAATTTATGACATCGTAATGACGTCACACTTTTTTTTGACAATTTTGTGCTGATGATCATGACCTAACAAACATGTTACAAAACGAATTAAGATATTAGCATGATTTGTTGGTTAGATACAGAAAAGAATGCACATACATTGCTGAACATATTAAACAATTCAAAAATCCAGATGAAATAGTAGGCTGACGTCATCATGACGTAGCGTCAATCGTGACCAAGAACACAAGCATGCGAATTTACGCATACTAAGTTTCAACCCGATCAGCCTTGTAGTTATCTAGATTTGGTACTTTCAAATGGACCTTGAAGATGACGTCACTTGACCCATGATTACGTCACTGTGACGTCACTTATCAATGCACACATTTGGTATGCGGTCTTTGTGTTTGATAAGTTTGGAGTTGATCTGATTAAAGACAATGCCAAATTTTATAAGTGAAACAACATTTTAAAAGTTAAAAAATTCTAAAATATCGGCTGACGATTTCATTGTGACGTGATTTTGTAATTTGCATACTAATAACATTGTCTACCTACCCAACCAGTTAAATGACAATTTGACCTTCGCTTTTTGTGTAAAAAGAACAAACCCTCCCCCCAAAAAAAATAAATAAATACAAAAATAAAAGAAATTGATGATGTCATGATGGCGTCACACATTTTCCCAAATTGTGTGCTTATATCTTTTGCCTAACAAACCTAATAAAAATAATTTTGAGTTTTAGCTTGTTCTGTTCGTGAGCATGTTCTGTTCGTTCTGTATGCTTGAAGGTTCAAAAATTTAAAAAGCCATAATAAATAACACGCTGACGTCATCATAACGTCACCGCCTTTTTTGTTATCTATAAGACGTCTAAATATCACTATGAACATCTTCACCCCTTAAGAATTCGTTAAAGAGCCATTTTCCCTTGAAATTACAGTTAACTAAATTTTCACGGTTTTTTTTTTCAACATACTGCGCAAGATTAGGAGTCCGTGAAAAAAACCTTTAGAAAGTCCTTTGTTTACCCATGGAGATAGACCCAGTGTACCGTCACGTATAACCAATGATAATCCTCAGTGGCCACTGGCCAGGGTTATTAAAAATCCGTGAAAATACCCTTACAGGATTAGTCCTATATAGGCCCTACGTAAAAGTCAGTAAAACATCTCTTAAAGATTCTTTTCATGGAGAAGTGGACTTTTAATGAAAATTGAAGGGATCAGATGTTCATAGTATACAAAAATTCAACCAAATCTGATTTATAGTTCTCTAGATACAGGTCATTGAATAATGCGCCTTTAAGATGACGCCACACGACCCACCATGACGTCACGATGACGTCACTCTTCTATATTAAGTTTAGTTGTGATGTGACTTTATATGTCTAAAGTGCCGGCAGGCACTTTAACAGGTTCAAAGTCTATGGGATTTTAGGTGGAACAAAAAAAAAATTGAAGTAAGAAAAAAAAAAACAAGTAACGAAAACAAGAAGTAACAAAAACAAGAGCTGTTTCGGCGGACTTGCTAAACAGACAAAAACAAACTGGCTTCGCAGCATTGCCTCGATTCGGCCTTAAAAATATAGCCTACTGCCTACATATTTTGGTTTAGATTGAAATTGAAAGTTAACTGTTGGAGGATGAAACCCAAAAGTTATCAGTAACATCGCTGATATAATCAATAGGCTTTTAACTCTTTATGCTTTTGTCAACTACATGTCTATATATTATCACTGTCGTATTTGGGGTTTATAGGGCCAAATGTTGTCGGCAGTCATTTTTGTTTAGCCCAACTTCGTGGTTTATTTTCTGATTTGAACTGTTTCATATAATTGTATCTGAAGATTTTTCTCAGAATTTGGAGCGACAGTGTCGGTTCAGTTTTAGAGAACCGTCGTTCAACGTCAGAATGATCCAAATTAGATTTCTTTATGTGATAGTTATAAGGCCCGTTATTTTTAAATTTTGCTGAGGGCATAATTTATCGTTTTATATTCAAACACTAATTTGGTACAGTTATTCTACGTGTATTTATTCAGTTAACATTTAATCAACATTTGACACTAAATATATACCGTTAAAGGGCGCTGAACCTATTTTTTTAACGGATCTACATCATTAGCTGTTACGGCTACTTAGCCGAAACAACTCTTTTTTTGGTTAACATTTTGTTTTTCTCTCCTTTTTTCCCCGACTTTTCTCCATAGGGTTTATACACGTTTTCCTTCCACTAGTACACTTTGACTATTTTCTAAGGCATATATTTAAAGAACTATAGGTTCCATTTAGTTGTAACTTGATATATACCTGTACTAAGATGTGTTATAGATACAAATTTAAGTGACGTCATTATGACGTCATCATATGTTTTGTGACGTCACCTTAAAGGGACACTTTTTTCTACGTCCGAATTGGTTGTAAACCTGATATGTACCTATATCGGGAAGTGTTATACATGACAATTCAAGTGAAGTCATTCCATTTCATATGACGTCACATTAAATGGCATTTTTTCTAGTGCCCATATCTAAATCTATACGTTCGATTTGGTTGTAACTTGTACCTATGCCGGGATGTGTAGATGAACATTCAAGTGATGTCATCACATGTCATGTGACGTCACATTAAAGGGGCATTGTTTTTTTCTAAGGCCTAGGCCTAGGCCTTAAATAAATGGACGTTACGTCCGATATGGTTGTAACTTGGAAAGTCGGTAGGTACTTAGACTGAGATGTGTTATAGATGAAATTTAAAGTGACATCGTCATGTCGTCATCACTTGTCAAAGAGTCATTTCCAACAGCCGAAACAGCTAGTGTTTGTCTAGAATACAATTTGTTGAACTTTTTTCTTATCTAAACCCTTTATTTTATTTCAATGTTTTTTTTTTGTTTTTTTTTTGCTACCAATGTTTGAATCGGTTGCTATGGCAATCGTCGACATACCAAAGAAGCGGTTATGGTAACACATTAAAATCTTAGTCATAGTAATGTTATGGTATTGTTTTGCCGTTTGGTAAAAGCGCTCTAAAGAATACATTATGTGTCATAATAGGGTTAAATATTATATTATTCAATATTCTATTGAATGTAATATAGAATTACTATTATTTGGCCTCTCATTTTTCCCACTGAAATTCTAGGTGAACTGAATGTCTTAAAATTACCCGGTAATGAGATCATCGTTGGTTGGGTTGGGCAGCAGACAGATCGTCCTATGTGGCTTAAGGCAGAGGTATTGTTAATGAACCAGACTTCAAGCTTCGGAATAAGAATTCAGGCGCACTGTGGTAACGTTGCATCGAATATCGCAATCGATGACGTGGCAATAACTACTAACATAGGTTTGTGTTTGTTTAATTTCCTTGCCATGAGACTGTATTAAATTTAAACATATTTGTTTTTGAATGTTATTACAGATTTGCATTTTTGTTGTGGTCTTGATTCCAATTGCTGCGGCTCGGGTTTCAACGATATTTGTGTCGAACAGGCAGGCACCAGTTGTTGATGATCAACAATCAAGTTATCAGCAAGCATGAAATGAAGAGGACATTATTAACGTTATCAACCCCAGGTCACATTTGATCGTTTTGAAAAAAAAAGAAAAATCGTTACAATATGTGATAAATATCCTTAACAAATCCTTATTATAATGTTTGTGCTCCACTAGAGCTATCAGCTCCCTTTCATTAGTAATTTTGACTTAATTTATTGAAACCGTTTTTATTGTTCGTCAGCTACTATTCAGTCACAACACCATTCATTAAGATATGCTAATTTGGGTTATGTCCGTCTCAAGCAAAGTGTGCCGTCTTCAATGCATGTGAAATTTATATTCACACACATTTAAAGCTATAGTCCATCATTTGCAGCCATCAGAAAAGTAACTGGCGTAATTCTTGCTGAAAAAAAACATACTTGGTTGAAAGATAGTAAGTGGTCTAAACTCCCTGTGAAGTTTTTCTTGCTGGCAAGCTGTCATTTTGAAGTAATCAACGAAAGAAGGCCTTTCCAACGGTGCGTCTTAAGACGTCTTAAGATGCACCGTAGGAAAATTTTAATAGTAGTTCGTTTTGTTATTCGGCGAAGCGCGCGCAAGCATTGGCACGACGCACACGCGCGTGCGGTTCTATAATTCGTCGGATCAGTGCGCGGCATCGCGTATGGCTGCAACCGGCTCAGTGAGAACGTGTCTCGGACGCTGAATTCAGGCCAATCTAAAACATGATTCAGCAACTTTTGATTTGAAATTGAGATCCTAGAATGCTGTTTTTCTCGGAATATACAGCTGAAGCTGAGCTGAAACTTCATCAGGTTAGTTGTTGTCATTCATTTTGTTCGTTTGAAGCAACAAAAGTGTTTAAAATCTAATGAAGGATACTGAACAACTTACTTGATGAAGTTTCAGCTCAGCTTCAGTTTCGTATTCCGAGAAAAACAGCATTCTAGGATCTCAATTTCAAATCAAAAGTTGCTAAATCATGTTTCGAATTTTTTGAATTGCAGCTTTACGCGATGTTGCGCACTGATCCAACGAATTATAGCAACCGCGCGCGCCTGTGCGTCGTTCCAATGCTTGTGCGCGCTGCGCCGAATAACAAAACGAACAACTAATTTAAATTGTCCTACGGTGCTTCTTAAAATGCCTTCTTTTGTTGATTTCTTCAAAATGAGAGCTTACCAGAAAGGATAATTTCACAGGGAGTTTAGTCCCCTTACTATCTTTCAACCAGTATGTTTTTCAACAATAATTACGCCGGTTACTTTTTTGGATAGCTGCCAATGATGGACTCGGGCTTTAAACAAAATATTATTTATTATATTAGTTATCCCTCAAGCGCGAGTGGAACACGGAATAATGAAGTGCGCCTGTGTCCCTCATACCAAGAGGACGAAGGCGGTTGGAGTGTCGCTCGCATCTTGGAATAGCGCAATACGCAGGGTGTGACATGGACCGTGCACTACAGCCTCATATCACACTGTTGTTGCCATGGATCGACCAATCAGGATCGAGGATTCAAGTTTACTTGAAGATAATATTAGTTATCCCGCGAGCGCGAGTGGATGACGGAATGATGTAGTGCGTCTGTGTCCCACTACATTATCCGTGTTCCACGAGCGCGAGCGTGATAAGGAATTTATCTTCAAGCAAAGTTGACGCGCAGTACAGTTGGAACGAGCACACTTTACACGAACATTTCAGCGGTGTAGCGCATGCAGCTGGAATGTCGCTCGCATCTTGGAATAGCGCAATACGCAGGGTGCAATTTGAACCGTGCAATACAGCCTCATATTGTAACGGCGACCCAAAGAGGCCAACCGTCAGTTGGGGGATTAACTAATTAATAAAAAAATACGTGGATGCTGATCACAAAATAACCGACAAAGGGACAAGTATATGCAATATCAGAAAATAGAAATAATGAGAATTTAATTAGCGCTTCTTCGCTTACAAAATAATTAACCAGGGGAGAGCATGTAAATATAAATGATAGAATTTAAATAGTTACTGACAGAGCAGAGTTCAGACTGGCACCACTACGATACTACACCGTAGTCTACAACCAGGCCATGTAAAAACTACTGGGGGCAAGGGGGGTAATATTGGAACATACTCACAAGACTATGCAGACCACTGAACCCTTTGGTGTAATGGTGGTGGTGGTGATGCAAATTAAAGAACACAGCGTCTTGCACAAAAACGAAGGCCAAATTAAAGCAGGCTTCCACCTTCAGCCATACAATGTACAGGAACTTAGAAAATAAGGAACTAAAATGCACACCACCATCCACCACCATGCCCCAGTCGCAAGTCCACGCCCTATTGGGCTTTCAAAGGGGTTTTATAGTGCTGGGTAAAAATATGCACAAGAATTTCAAGATTAGGCATACTAATGCAGTGTGTCTTTCGTACTGGGAGATATTTGCATTAACACTAAGTACAGAGGTATGGGGGCAAGGAACTTATATCCCAGTATTGTGAGGGTAAACAATAAAGACTACCACGAGAGCTCCATCTGTGGTTTGACTGCAACCCAAATACTATTCTATTGTGGTGTAAAGTAGGTAAAGACTTAAGTTGAACAAAGTAAGCTCTGAAATAGTTTTGTGGCATTAATCTGACTTGAGAACAGATGTAATACATGACTGCTATGGATTACTGTGGCCAAAGCGCTCTCTATTTAGTTTAAAGGTGCAATTGGGACCATAATAAAATCAAATTTTGTTACAATATCACACTGCTGTTGCCATGGATCGACCAATCAGGATGGAGGATTCAAGTTTGCATGAAGACAATTATTTATCAGGCTTCTAGTGGTAAAAATAAATCAGCGTATTGAAGGCTTTCGTAAAGAGTACCCGGATGATATATCAAATATTATTAAAATCATCCGGGTACTTTATTGATATAGCATTGATATTGTAGTCATCCGGGCATTTGTTATAACTCGTGCAATATATTATTGTATCCCTCTCAAAGCCATTCAATATTATATAATTACTTATAACACAAAAGGAAATCGTACATTGACGCAGTGTTACACAATTATGTATTTAATTACAATGATGATAGTACTAACGTGATGATAAACGGTGCAGCCAATACTTTGTAATTTCGTCATCTTCGACACACAAAACCTGAAACAAAAACCAAGCACTACGACATACATGACAACGAGACTGTAGAAGACCATAAACATAAACATTTAAAAGGACTATTTAACGTTTGTTCAAAACGTTCAATGACATCAACCAAACTTAGAGTTTGATCATCTAGTTCCTTGTAGGTATTTAAGAAAAATCATGCATGTTTCCTGGACGAGAAAAAAAATGTAAACTCATTTCGTAGAATCCTCTGAAATGTGACAACTCTAACGTAGTTCGATTTTAAAACCACTAATAATCCATCAACGAACTTCACAACAGGTGATTTACCACTTGTCCCCACGACCGACCAAATGACCACTACTGAAGCAATGGAAGAGCTATCCACTAGTGAACAAATGACCGACGTTGCAACAACAAGTGCCTTAGTCCAGCAAACGTCCACAGGAGCAACACTTGAACTAACGTCCACCGGTGGAACAGCGGCCCAGATATCCACTACTGTCCAAGAAAGTGGGATTGCAACTACAGGTGCCTTAGTCAACCAAACATCCACAGGAGGAACACTCGAGCTATCTACCAATACCCATGTCGCTGGGATGGCAACAACAGATGACCGTATCGACGAAACAGCCGCTACAGAAGCAACACCTGGGCTATCAACTCCAACTACAACAAACGGAGAGGATGGAGTAGACGGTGGGATTGCAACAACAGACACAATGATCGACCAGACATCCGTTACAGAAGCAGCTTCGGAGCTATCAACTGTTGAGCGAGTCACTAGCGTTATGTCAACGGATAACTCGATCGTCCAAACATCTACTGCAGCAAACGGAGGGGATGGAGGAGACGGAGGGATTGCAACCACAGACGCAATGAACGACCAGACCTCTACTGCAGACGGAGGGAATGGAGGGGACGATGGGGAGTCGTCCACTTCACCATCAATGGCTGTTACTGAAGGTAAGATATTAAATCCAGTTGCATGCCAGCTGGTTGTCGAGCCATTACAAGACCATCACTATTGCATTACAGTCACAAGCGACAAAACCAATATTTCTGCATTGATGGTTTCGATAACAACAGTACCTCATGAAAGTTATATGTAAAATTAATACAATTCAAGGTAGTCTATTGGTGCGAAAAACGTGGTAAACAGAGTAGGAATCAATTTCAAGTGCGCCTTTTTATATGAAATTTATTTGTTTGGCTAAAACTTTCAAAATAGCATTAAGCTTTTCTGTTGCCGAGTTATCTTTTTCTTATTCAGTAGTTACCTAAAGACATTCAGGCAAACCAAAAGACCTGTTGATGTACATTTTCCTGAATCGACCATTATATCTTGCCTTTTCTTTCAGCCGGAGGGACCGGAGGGGATGGAGGGAGAGGAGTGATTGCAACAACAGAAGCACCAATCGAACAACCGACGATGGAGTTCAGCTGTCAGTTACGGATTCTTGAACTGAACGGTGCACCTGCGGTCTTCAATTCTCGACTCGCAGACAGCAACTCGCAGGAGTTTCGTGATGTAGTGATCATTATTCGCCAGGCAGTAAGTACACAGTGCCCAAATATTAAATTTTGAATCTAACAGCTTGTGTCACGGTGAAGTCGATCAGAACATAGTCTGGTTACAATATATTCTTTTAGATTCCTCACTGATCTTATTTCAAAGGTTTCTGCCACAGGAGATCCGCCAAATGTCTATTGAACATTTATTTGATAGCACGCCCAAAAATGCTATTAACATTTGACGTTGCACTAGTTTTTGGCCTTTGTTTATTTTCAAGCATCGCGTTTTGAACCAAAGAGTCAAGGGGTGACATAAAATATGATTGTCTGCTATTGGCGTTATTCATGAGTCGGCCATATTAAAGTGAAAGCGAGGTAAAATCTTCATTTTTGGAACTTAAAGAGAGAAATGAAAGCAAGGCATAAAGTTAATTTCAAATTAATACCAGTCTGCTCTGATTAATAATTAAAAAATTGTGATGAAAAATACCCTAATGTTTTTAGCCACATTTAAAACAAAGTGAAAGTCGAGCTAGAATGCATAAACAGTCTGGCACCATCCCAATCAACAGTTCACAATTTATAAAATACATTCAGTGAACACGACCAAAAATTGCTTCCTCGTGACTAAGGTCCATTTGGGAACTTCAGAGAATTATACAAACTGCAGGGGATCCGTACGCACTATTACTTATCTCCAGTTGTTTAAGTAATGCTTAAAAACGTAGCCGAGCGGTTAGAGCGTGGAGCTACGGAGTGGAAGGTTGGCGGTTCAAATCCCATTCGGACCAAAAACTCTCTGATAACCCAACAGTAAAATGCGTACCTGATTCGTTCAGGGAAGGTAAGACGGCGAGAGGAGAGGACTGGGCCCCGCCACTCATATGCCGCGCCCAAGACGCAGCGGACCTCTAACATCCCACTGCCCCTACGGCCAGTAATGGCTATGGGATCTTTACCTTTGAGAACCAACATCTTACACCTCGAAGTTTCGTTCGCGTGGTAATTACGCAAACGCAGCACATTTTAAGTTATAATTGTGTGAACGTTCTTATTCTGATATGTAACGATCTTTCCAGTTGACATCATTTGGTAAAGAGGTCCCAGCACAAAATGGCGCTGTTTCACAAAGGTCTTCCTTTAAATATATAAAGTATAAGTTGTGAACATTTGCTGATTTTTTTGGTAGCTTTCACTTGTACAATTGTCTTTTCCCCAAGCATCGTCCCGTGAATATCTCTGTCTATATTGTTGTCATTTTAATATGATTACTTTTTCGCTTCATTGTCCCAAATTCTGTTGGTCAAGTTTGGACTATTTGCAGTAATTTGTTTCCTCTTATATATCATTTAGACTTTTAATTAGTTTCAGTAATGCAACATTTTTGTTTATAATTTTTATTTACTGTGCTTTTTGACGCATCATGATAGGTGATTGCAGCCCTTCGCAGGTCACCCAGGACATCCAATGTAGTGGATTATGTAGTGATCTCGGTTCGTGACGGGAGTTTGTTGGTGAATGGTGTGGCAAGATTCCCTCTCAACTCCGTCATCGAGAGTGCAACTATCAGAGAAGTGCTTCGCGACGACGCGATTGCCAATAACGGACAGATAGACAACTCACTCACCATTGATCCATCGGGCTTAGTCGTGACAGGTATGTATTAAATCGATTTGAGAGTGCACCTTGCCCATAAATGTTTTTTTTTTTTTTAAGCTAGGTCCAATTCATTCCCGAGCGAATATAATGGAAATATGCCACATCTTTGGGCGCGATAAAACAACGCAATTCTTGGGTGCAAGAAGTAAATGTCATATTAATTGAAGCCGTTATGCAACTTGAATTATACCTCAAAGTATTTTGTTTTTGATATATAAGTATTGCAACATGCGCAAACGTGCCTTAAATAAGCCGACTTGTGATTCATGTTCGTTTATTTTCAGCCCATAGTGTGGCATCACAACAGCGTTCTATTCGCTCCACGTATGGGCAATTCTGTCCCTGTTTAATTTCAGAGGTTTTCACCAGATATTTATCTAAAATGTCTTTCCTCAAAGGTCTGTTTTATGTTTGTGAGACAAAATGACATGGTGCATGTACGGAATCATTCATTTCATTACAAGATAAAAATATAGTAATGCAAAAACTATTGCATGAATGAATTGTCTAGGACTTGATCTGTACAAAATGCTAACTTCCAAATCCGTTTGCTCTGACGCAATAAACAAAATATAAACAACAATAGTTTGTTAGTTTAAAAGTACATGTAATTGTAAGTCAAATGGTGTCTTCTGAGTTCCTCTTTTCATGTTTGTATTTATAACACAGCCCGGACTGAAGCTTGTCCGGCATATCGCTGTCAAAATGGAGGCGATTGTACACGAACTGGAAGTTTCCCAGATTATGTGTATACGTGCGAGTAAGTTCTGCAAATCTTTTTTTTAAAAATGAACACGTCGTGCACTTGAAACTTAGATAATTTCTCTAATGGCTTGGTTATTATATATTCTTATGCTGTCACAAGTCTTCTGATATGATGTGAATTAAGCTGTAATTTGAACATCTCTTCAATTTCGAAGATTAATTAAAGATTATCTTACTAAGGTAAGAAAGTCACTGAGTTGAGGACAATTGAAAATGTTAAGGCAAATTAAACGAGTAAAAAAAAGATGCTTATTAATAGTTGTAATCATTAACTTACTCAAATTGTTATCATTTCTTAGGTGCCCGGATGGTTACACGGGAACCTCCTGCGAGGAAACAGGTGCGAAATGTGTGCCCAATAGGGCAAATGGCGAATGGCAACAAGAGACACTCGCTTCAATATTGAATGTTTGCCAATAATAAATACCAATATGAATCAAATGGCCTTTTGTTCAACGGTTAAATTGTGGAATGTTTTGTTCATCTCGATAAGCGAGTTCGGTGTGAATAGGTTTAAACGACACAATTGACGACCCACGGACTGGCTTGTGAAAAGCATTGATACAATCCTGATGATTTTTCAATTCAAGGTCTCAAATTATTAATTTTTTTCGTTGCTCCATGCAATCTTTTATTTCCCAAAATAGAAAATTCACTTCCACTGATTGAAACTAGGGACGAGACGTTTTAGAGTGAAATACGTTCAATCGAGGACATGGTGTATTTATTCAGTAGCATTTAGGTTGCATAATGAATAGTAAGGGATGTTTATTCCGATTGATTTTATAAACCAGATGAACCTGGGAACGGAGGAATCATTGCCACTGTCACTACAGCCGGTGCACTCCTGTTATGCAGCATTGTTGTCATGCTATGCGCTTGCGTTATCAAGGCAGGTCGCTCTGCTTCTCAACGACGTAGACGTTTTGCACAACAGGTAAACTGGATATGGAGCTTCCATTGACAATATTTGGCACAGTAATGTTTACACAATCGACTGTAATTGAGGAACAATTAATAGCTTATGAAAGAATGTGTATTACAACTGATAATGTAGTAACCAACGGATAATGTATCACCAACCGATAATGTCACAAAAATTGACCGATACTGTACCACTAACCGATAATATAACAGAAATCGACCGAAAGTGTAGTAAAAATGTACTAACACTATCAGTCGATTGTTGTTACATTAGCGGTCAAGACAGTATCGGTAGGTGATACATTATCAGTTGGTTACTATATGATCAGTTGTAACAAATGTGCAAAGCCTGAAGGACTAAATACATCAATCATGGATTAATGTGCCATCTTTATTTAACATGTCATGATACAACTCGGTTATTGTATTATCACGCGCAAACAAGTATCAAGTCAGCCAAATTTTCTAGTACTTTGCTCTCAAGTCTGGCAAACGCTGAATGATAAAAGGGACCAATGTAGTTTCACTTTTTTTCAGTTATTACTTTTGCGACCGAAAGCCTTTGCAACATTTGTATTCTGTGCAACTTTTGTAAATCCCTACCATTTATTCCAAATAGGATATGGACCATGCCAGACAGCGTTATCGCTACGGAGTGAGGAATTGGACTCGTCCTGCTATCATGCCCCGCACCATCTCGGTAAGCATGATGTTAAATATTCACACAACAAGCCGAATCACAAAGGCCTTTGTTCATGTTCTAAAGGGAGTGCTCTCCAATTCATTTATGTAGTACTTTTCAAAGTCATTTCTTTGGTGAACTTAATTATGTACACAGAGTATTTTTCCGATCACAAAACTTTGAACTTTGAAGTAAGAACACTTACTTTTTTTTAATTAAGCACTATTTTTGTTATTAAGTGGCACTTACTAAGTGGTACTAACACTTTGTGTGCTGTTTGCCATGACAATGCAGGCAATGGACGATGGATCAATGGACGACGCACGCGCATTCTATGGGGCCTATGACTATAGTACTAACTATCGTAGAGAGGACGGCTTCTCGGGGCCTTACTCTCCATACATGATACCAGGCCCAGCACTGGTAAGTACACTTTGTTTTCTATTACAAATGCTTACCTCGCGGTGCCAACTTTCCAAATGCGTGTGTACTGTTTTACAACACGTAGTACATACAATCCTCTTGGCATTGCGAACAATATTACATCAGTTCTGAGTATATAGGGCCTAACCAAACCTTTAGTTTTTAGTGCAATGACTTTATATTTTGTTCTTTCCAAACAGATGCGCAGAATGGATCAAGAAATGATGAGAGACGATTTCTTATACTGAATATAGCCATAATGCAACTAAATACTACGTGTCAACCAAAAACATGTCCTACTTTTTTGATCATAAAT